ATTTTTTCGTTTAGTCTAAATTATGGCCACGAATTAAGTATTCGTTCTCTTGTTTAGACTTAGCTGGCACGAATTCATTCGTTCGTTAATTCGTTCATTCCCTAGTTTTAGTAGGCCTAAATCGTGGAACGAATTATTATATTTCGTAATTACTTATTAAAATCATTATTGCTTAAAATTAATAAATAATAATAAATGAATACAAAAAATAATAAAACCTGCTGACGTCGTAGAAACTAATTGTTAATTCAAATTATATTCGGAGCTCTGTAGTTATTAAATAATCTCAGTTAAACTGTAGACCTAAGCTAACACACAGCTGTATATAGGCCTACATACAGAACTACAGAGTACAGAAGATATTAGCCTACACCACTTAGGCCTATTAAAATATTATTTAAAAAAAAACTGACCCGGACCAATAGGTAGTCCTACAGAATGTAGGCTAGATATAGGCAGCAGTAATTTATAATCTAATATAATGCACGCAAATTTGTTCTTTACAGAACGGAGCGGGATCTGAGCGGGAATTGGTTTACGGCGAGCGTGAGCGGAATATTAACGGAGCGCTTGCTTGGGCGGTTAGAGCGACTGAGTGGAGCGCACGTCCATAGAGCGGAAAACGTAGCGGAGCGTCACTCCGCTCCGCTTCGCTCACAAGCTCTGCTCGGTATGCACACGAGCTCACACTCCACCAGGCCTGACCGTGACTCCAGGCAGCTCTCTGCCTCAAACTGAACGCTTCATTAAAGCATACCGACTCCCCTCGGCCCACATGTGTTCCCCGTGCTCCACTGTGGAAGAAAGAAGGGATGAATAATGTATTTCACATTAAAGGACTGAGGCCTTCTTTTCCTTCTGCATAGTCATGTGCTGGACACTCATGGTCTCTACAGAGCATACGTACCTCATATTATATATACTTCCTGTTTCCAGTATGTACTAACCAGTACAAAGAAAAAGTTCTGGGAGTACCATGGTACAGTGGAGTCATGTCATGAGTATTACATAATATAATACATGCACTGTTGTCAAGTACATACATAAACTCTTCCTTCATGTGAAACTCAAAAACTATTTTTAGTTTTATTTTATTAATTGTAATAAGAGAGTACTTTATTAGCGTATTCATGTACTTCAAAGAATAGCATGGTACTTTTCTGTTAGTATACTGTATGCTGTGTTGTGATGCATTTTCTGTGACGATACCACAACACATGCAGTTCTCATGTTAAATGGCCACTGTCTCTCATCTTTTGACAATTTTGGCATTACTGCTTTGGGTAAGGTTTATAGCCAAGCCTGGAGAAATAAAACCTCCTCAGCATTTTTCGATATTTTTTTCCACCACTAGTTGCCTAATTTTCCTTTGCCATGGCTTACAAATAGAGAACATTTTATAATTTATTACAACTTTCACAGACATCATTTGTTTATTGGTTCAAGATGTTCAAGATCCCCACACACAGTTGGATTGAGCACAAATTCAGTCTCCTTTACATCAGCAGGAATAATCTGAAGAAGCCACAGTCCTTCCTGTCTGTCTGCTGTTTCTTGGAGTTAATTATTTCACATATTATGATGATCCTAGTACATTTGTGTCAGCTGTGTTTGTGTAAATGCTCTAATGTGGATGGATGTACACAGACCAGACCTTGATTTATTGTACTAGTTAAGTAAAGATAGTTAAACACACAACTTGCATCTACTGCAAACCCACCCACGTGTACACTTTCATATACCTGCACACATACAGAGAATCGGCAAACACCCACTCATTCGACTTTGCTCTGACTGACAGGCTGTTTGTGTTTATCATCATAGACTAATTTGTTCTGCTAGCAAGGTCACAGTCTAGGGCCACGCACACAGGGCCCCTGTTGTGCAGCACTCTTACACGTACACACACCCTTCCAGTAAGGACTCCTCCTCTGTTCTCACCAGTTAACCAAAAAGGGCCCTTTGAAGTCAGCTGGAGTCTAGTTGTTACTGGAAAAACAGCTTCTGAAAAAAACTTTTTACCCTCTTGATACGATGTTGCCCTGTGAATTTGTGTTAATTATATTCTCAATATTTTACCTCACAACTTTTGCCTTGCCAAGTATTCTTAAAATTACCTTACGTTTTGAAACAGTAGCTTTCTAAACTTCAAAATACTCATGATTTTATACTAAAATAAAGCTCTAGTCATTTAAAAATGTACATGGCTGCAAGTGTCTAACTACAGTAAGGCTACTGTTTTTGTGCTATAAGCTGTTAGCAATAAATAGCTAGATACAGTCAGGCTACTCTAGTGAAAATGTAGTTAGCCACAAGCTATTAGCAGTGAGTTGCTAGCTACAGTCAGGCTAATGATAAAAAAAAAAAACTGTTTGCTACAAGCTAGCAATAAATAGACAACCGTGTCCAACCACTTTTTCAGTGGCATTGGTTCAGGCAGTATTTTTCCCATTCATTTTTCTCATAGGGATTTTGTTAAAGATTTTAAGCCATGAACCAAACCAACTAGCTATGAGGGTGAATAAGAACATTACAAACATTGAATTGAAGCAAAAATGTATTGGTAAAAAAAAATTGACAAAAAGACATGGGTACAGTACTTAACAGCTTTAATAAGGGAAAGAACATATGAAGCATTGCAAAATCAAAATAAGAAATAGAAAACTGTTTAAATGTTGATTTTGCAGAAACTATAATTAGTGTATATTGTAAAATATGCATATATTTTCAAATGTTTAAGTAGTTTAGGGCATGGGAAATTGATTGTACTTCATTTGTGTTGCTTTATGGGAGTTGGGGGGGCACTAAAGACAATTTTTTTGGTGTTATTTTGCTTGTTTTAATTCCCTGATTGGTAGAGATTTTTTTTGCAGAATCATGGGTAATGTAGCTTTTGCTTTTAAATACACTTATTTAAAAATAAGTTGAAATAATGTAGACTGATGGCTTCAACAAAGCAAACAGTATATCATTGATTAACAACCTGGTAACTCTGTAGTTCTGTAGTAGGTCTGTCTAAAGGTTATAAGTTATTCTTAATAATCAATTAATATAGTTAGCTGCAAGTTAAAATCAGTACATAGCTAGCCAAATTAAAGCTGTTTAAGTAATATCTTTTTTTATAGCCTATATACCTGTCTGATGATGGCACAATTTTTTTTAAATCAGAACAGTATAACTAGAACTAGAACATCCAAACAAACCGATCCAACAAGGCTTCTCACAGTAAATTTTCACACTTCACACATGTAACGTCGACTAAGAAAGATTCATCCATCTTTTGACTCTTATTCTAGCACCTCTTATATGAAACGTTCCAGTCGAGTGGTTCTGGAATGTTCCTTCAGGATATGACATAGAAGTGACTAGCAATGTTGTTGTGAACAGGCTTTGGCAGCTAATGAAGAATGAACTGTAGAATTCATTACAGCCCATCCTGTGATTTATGCTGGCCAAAGCATTGCAGAGCTGACTGCTGTTGTCTCAGGAGGGGACGATGTCTTTACCAGGTTTAGTCAGACCTCCGCTACTGTGAGCAGAGAGAGACCGCAATGGAAAAGTCAACAGCACAATTTGGATTTGCCTTGGATTTGAATATATTTGTTCCAGTGAATCTAAAAATGGCTGATGGGGGATTTGGATCTGGTTTACTTTAAACTAACTAGTGGATGAATTTATCTTAGATGGTTTAAGTTCAAGCTGCTGACTCTGTGCAGCATATTTGGAAACATCTTAATTTTAGTAATTCCATTATGATTTCAAAAGTTACACTTCCTCTTTTATACATCCCTTTCTTCTCTATCAAGCTTAACAGCTTCAGAGTGTCAAAAAAACAACCTGGTGAATGTGTGAAATATGAAAATGATACTGCTATCTAACAATTGAACCCAGGAAAATGAGGTGAATGTTTATTTAGAGTAAAGTCTCATAGTGGGCCTTGAGTTTGCAAGTTTTCAGACAGGTGCGTGACTTGTCATGTGCGGTGATCCCATCAGTCACAGAGTCAAAGCGAGCGAGGGATCTGGAGAATGGACGTGCAGTAAATCAGGCCTGATGAGAGGCACTCAGAGCGACGGGAGACTTTCCATGCTACTTGAGTCCTTTCCAGTCCTGCATAACGAACGATCTGTCTGGACTGCTCCAGTTCCATTACCCACAGCCCTCTGTGTCGTGCCAAGTGGGGCAGCCTTTATTGGCCAGTTTGCTTTGTTTGTTTGTGTTTTTTCCATTTCTGGTTAGTATCCAGCAGTTAGGCCGCTTGCCAATGAGGATGGAATGATACCTATTTATAATCATTTTCACCAATGCATGCTTGGGTGCTTATCAGCAGGCCCAGACAGAATCTGCAGATATTTGCATTTACATAGAGGAAAGCGTTTAATGGAATTAAGAATGCTGCACTCTTAAAGTATAGATCAAGTCAGCCAAACTGGACACACAAGGGGCAGAACTAATGAATGCATTACAGTTCTGTGGAAATTTATGCAATTTTCTGAAGAAGCCTGGGCCTGCTTCTCAGATTCCAAACTTATAAATATTTCTCCTTTGGATGAATCCGAATCAGTGTAGCTGACATAAACAATAGTAATTCACAAATGAATGGTGGTAGCCATGTTAACTCATCACTGAGGGGGTGCACTCCTTGATTCTTGTCTCTTGTTTTTCCAGTTTGTTCTTAATTGATTGTAATGCATGTATGTTTACCATACATTATAACATACTGAGGTGAATATGAATATTTGACTGTTTGTTTCTTTTCCTGTATGCACAGGGCCCGCGGAGGTTCCGATGATGTCACCCAATGGATCCATCCCACCCATCCACGTGCCTCCCGGCTACATCTCACAGGTGAGTGCAAAATGTCAATGTCATAATTTCAGGATAGTATCATTAAGTATTATGTATAAATTCAGCTTGAATTGGACTTGAGAAAGGAAAAAATATATTCCTTTTCATTAATTTAATTTCTTTTTAGTGAAAATCATAATAGACTCACAGGAACAACATGTCACATGTCCAAAAACATAAGCTAGTATATTTATTTTCTGCTTCATTTAAATGACGCAACACATTATAAATTAGTAGAGTTGCCTTGCTGTGCCAAAACTTTATTTGAGAATGTGCTTACAAGTGTGCATGTTACGGCTTTAAATCTTTCAAAAAAATCAATAGTGCAAAAACTGAATTTAATAATGCCCTCAGGAGCGACTACCTCTCATCCTCTCACCTCTGTAAGTAAGACTTGTGGTCTGTCCAGGACTCTTACATCTCTATTATGATCCATTAGGCATTATACAAGAATCTGTCGTTGTTCCAAACCACATGGTGATTCCTATCTGCCAGATGAAAGAAGTAATCAATATGTAGCCAGTGCTGATCTGGAATGAACTCTCCAAACCGTAATCTTTATCTTGCTCATGATCGGCCAGACATGAAAGCAGACCCCTGACCAGTAGCTGTTGAAGAGATACAATCAGCACGGCAACAGCTCTGGGCCTGGAGCCTAGTGGTTACATTACGTCTTCATTTAGAGTTCAACAGACCTCACCTCAGCTTCTACCCACAAGCTGACAAACGCCATTTCTGACTCTATGCTGAAAAGGACTATTGAGAATATTTGTATTTCGACTAGTTTGTGATTCATAAAAAAAAGTCGATTTTCTGATTCACTAGGGTATTTATTAAGACCTGTGGTTCTTAATTGGTAGTTTGAGACCCGAAAATGGGTTGCAGTGGTTCTTTTTTTAAATGACTTTCATGCAATGCTGCTCTTTATTTCTCCATGGACTTTTTGCTGGGACATTCTTCCTCACCCTTAACCACTTATGTAAAAGATGCAAATACCTGCAAGAATGTCATGGAAGACCAAGCGGAGAGTTAATACTGTGGAGAGAGAAAGTTGGGGAGCCATATGACCCTGTAACCAGTGTTGAGTAAAGGTTGTTATCTGGTGATGCTGTTTCCCAGAAAGGCAGATTAGAACACAAACAGATTAGACCTCTGTTTACTTATAGTTGGTTTCCTAATTTTGTTTTTTTCTGTACCCTGTACTCTCAATAGAAAAACAGAAAGGTGTCATGCACCCATTTTCTTTTTGATTGTGGGCCAGTGGCAGTCCTGGCTCATTTGGTGGGCTAGGTGAGATAAGAGATGACCAAAGAAAAAAAACAACAACTTTTTAAAATATTTATACTTAAACTGACTTGTGTACATTACATTATATTGCTATTGCAAAAATCAATATTATATAATTCAAACTATGAGGACATCATTTTTAAGTCAAGTAGATTTTAAGTGCAACTTCTAAAAAATTGTCATTTATTTTATTGTTTTAGAAGTTGCATTTAAAATCCACTTGACTTAAAATCATGCCCTCTTAGTTTAAATGGGCATGACTTTTCGCCCCTCCTGTGGCAGTTGAAGGAATCTGCTAATTGTCCAAAGGTCATTGTATTTGTGTGTAATTTAGGTCAGTGCCAGCTAGGAGTGGGAAGCACAGTCAGAACTGTGGGCATCTAATGACAGGAGACCAGTATCCAGACACATTTAGTAGAAGCTTTTTCTTTTCAGACTAATTCATCCGTATTGTACAGGGCTCTACGCTTACTTTTCTTTTTAGGAGCACTTGTGCTCCTAACTTAAAAAATGTAGGAGCACGTTCAAAATTTTAGGAGCACCTTCTAATCAATAATCCAAAATGTTATCAAAAAGTAGCCTTCCCATTACGAGGTGATATTTGACTCCTCTAACTTTACTAAAAGTATGTCATCTTTTGTCAAATTCTTAAAAAAATTATATTTTATAAGCTTTTTAAAAAC